AAAAAAAAAAAAAAAAAAAAAAAAAAAAAAACACTGTGCAGCTGAAGTTGGGAGGAGATGGCTGCCCTTGCAAAGACCATGGGGCCAGGAGGATAGGGAATGGACAGAAGGTGGGGAGGTGACTGGAGGGACACATCAGCCTGCCCGGGGCCTCATGCGGTCAAGGACTTTTTTCCGGGAAGTTTTCAAGTAGGGGTCAGATCTGTGATTTCGAAAAAAAAAAACCCATCACAGCTCATGCCTCTCTCATCGGACTGGGAGCCTTCCCGGATGGCCACCACAGGAGGTACACCAAGTAGGTGTCTAATGCTGGTGGAAGATAGGGTCTCCGCTGCACCCCACAGCTCATGGAGGCCTATTGCCTTAGACTGCTGGGAGGCAGGCAAGAGGCCTGGATTTGAATCCCTGCTCTGCCATTTAACAAGGGTGTCAGGCAAATCTCAAAACCTCTCTGGGCTACTCTTTCTCTGTAAATTGGTGGCTGCACTGGGTACATTCCAGTGCTGTCCTCGTTCATCTCCCAAGCACCTCCCAGGAGTTCCAACTTCTGACCTGGGAGATGTTAACCTGGATGGGAACATGCTCATTTCACAGGATGTAGAGGCCAGTGTGGAAAGGGGACTTGGCTGATCACACAGCTGCAAACTGGCACCTAAGTTAGGACTGAGTTTCCCAACGAGTGAAGCTCTGCCCCCAAAGTATGGTCCTTGGTCTCCTGTGTCAAGACCCTCCCCCCAACCCGGGCATTAGCTCTCTTCTCACGCCTGGGGGTCACACAGTTAAAAGCCAAACCCCAAAGGCTTTTGAAGCCTCAAAAAGTGGGCAGCCAGGATGGTCAAAACGAACTGGGAACACATAGGTAGTGAGGCCGGGGGACTGTGAGCACACGGTGGCCCTTCTTTGCACCTGTTCGCTCTACTTGCTGTGTGACCTTGGCCACCAATGCTCACATCCCTCCAAGCCCCAAGTGAGTCAGAAGCCCAAGGTTCAGGGTCTTAACAGCAAAGGCCAGAGTACGAAGGAGAAGCAAGCAGTCTCTGGTGGTGAGAAGTCCAAAGTCCCTGATGATGAGAATGTCCCTGCACAGTCCCTTTAAAAGGCTGTGTGACCTCAAGCCAGTTGCTCAACCTCTCTGAACCTCAAGTTTCCTCAAAAATGGGAGAATAGGATGTTGCAGGAGGAAGGCGCTTCTGTAAGACACTTGGAAAATCCTGAATTTTAAGTCCATGTGGCCACAGTCTTGAAGGCAGACCGCTTGGGTCACATCCCACCTGTGCCACCTTCCTCCCGGTCCTGGGACCATGACTTATCCTCTCAGAGCCTCAGACTCCCCCCACCCACTGAACGATAATAAAAGCTTACACTGAGCCCCAACTGTAAGCCAAGTACTGCTCTGAAAATATAAACTCTCTTAATCCCAAGTCTTATGGGGCGTTTTTCTATTGTTCTCCCCATTTTACAGACAGGTAAAAGGAGGCCCGGAAGATTAAACAAGTTTTTGCCTCTTCCTCCCTGCCTTGTGCTGGGACTGTCCCCTTTCCACCCCGCCATCCCTCTTCACCACAGGCAAAAGGGACATGAGCTAGTTTCAAACGCTCATCAACGACTCCCAGGTCCCCTTTCCAACCCGGTCACGGGTCGGCCTCGTGCCCAGGCCCGCCTAGATGGCGCTCGCTGCGCGCCAGACGCCCGAGCCCCTCCCAGACGACGGCTCCCCTGTCCCGCCTACAAGGGGACGACCAGGGGGCGGGCCCAGGAGGCACGGGGAGCGGAGGGGCCAGGCCCCGCCCAGCCCGCCAGGCCCGGGCGGGGGAAGGAGGAGGCGGAGCCGAGCTGGCGTAACGAGACTTTACTGAAAACAGAAAACCGGGCGAACCAAGGATTACAAACAGGAATGTGGACTCGTAGCAAAACGAAAAACAGAACAAAAAGGGCGGGGGGGAGCGACAGCGAGGAAAGAGGAGTCTCTTTTTCTTCCCATTTCTTTAAAAAACCAACACAAGAAAACACACACACGCACAACCAACGTTTGTTCCCGAGTAGAAACATAAATAGGGCAGAATCGAACACTCTGTTCTTCTCTCTTCCAAAGGCAAAAAAAAAATAAAAGGAAAGGAAGGCAGGGCTCGAGGCGCGCTCCATCGGAGCCCCTTCCGCAGCGGTGTGTACAAGGGGCGGCCAGGACGCGCGCGTTTGTGCAACACGGAGCGGCCGCCCGCGGGAGACAGAGGCAGCGCAGGGGGGGGTCATGCGCTCGCCCCCCAGGAGCAGGGGGTCCAGCTTGTCGATTCCGGGGCGCCCTCTCCGCGTCCTGGGCACCCTGGGGGGTGATGCCCCGGGGACGGTGCCCTCTCCGAGCCCTGGGCACTCTCGGGGGGATCCCCGGGGCTGCGCCCTCTCCGAGTCCTGGGCACCGGGGGGGAGAGGCCCCGGGGCCGCGCCCTCTCCGAGTCCCGGGCGCCCACGCCCCCCCCCTCGAGTCCACCCCTCCGGAAGGGGGGCCGCGCATGCGCCCCGCGTGTGGGCTCAGTACGCGGGCACCTGGTGCTGGGGCAGCAGCTGGCAGCCGCTGTTGACGTGGCTGAGGACTTTCTGCTTGAGCTGCGCCACCTGCTCGCGCAGCAGGCTCGCGGTGGACGCCAGCTCCGTGTTCTGGCTCTTGAGCGTCTTCACCTTCTCCTCGAGGCGCGAGATGCGCTCCAGCTTGCGCTTGCGGCACTTGGAGGCGGCGATGCGGTTGCGCAGCCGCTTGCGCTCCGCCTTGATGCGTTCCTGCGTGTCCATATCGATGGGCGACAGCGGTGGGCTCTCGCCAAAGCTGGGCACGTCGGGCACCGTTTGTGGCTCGTCCTTGAGCGCAGCCAGGCGCGGCGGCCCCAGCGCGCCTGGGGGTGGCGGCGGCGGGAAGGGCACGGGCTCGGCGGCGAAGGCGACAGTCGCCGCGCTCCCCGCGCCCCCGGCGCCGCCCGCGTAGCTGCTCAGGTTCGCG